ATATCATTGTGGGAAAATTCTACTACTAGTCCTTCATCACCTTAAACGAAATTGGGTGAATACATCTCATTACACTGATTTACTGGTAGTAATCTACTCAAATTACTTTAAACCGGATAAAAGAGGCCAAATATAGAGTATATATACCACTTTTTAGGGATTTGCCAGTGAGTTTTCTTGACATGTCAACTTGAATTTAGTTGTGAAGATGATACCTTGCTCTGATGATGTTCGTCAAATGACGGACGAAAGCTTAGCACTTTTGTACCGGAATCGAAGGTATAAAGTGATGTGGTTAGTTACGGTCATATGTCAACCTCGACGCCTGGGAGTGTGTCTGGCTCTGTATGTTTATCTGCCTGTTTGTGTTCGCTTATGCGCGAAGCCCCCATGAATGTTGCAGAAAAGCCAATTGACAGCTGGTCAAGAGGAATCTGCCGTCGTCTTCTGGTGGAACTGACCTTCGAATCTCTTCACCAAACACTTTCACCAGAAATGGAATTAAGCAAAATGAATACATTAATCTAAACGATGGAACAATGAAGCAGTCAACTTTCTTAGAACTTGTTTTATCACCAAAGAATTTCCGAGTGAGCTTGGTATTGGTCATTTATTGAGGCGTGTGTATTGGACCTGGAGTGGTTGAGTGGGTTGTGGCAGTCGAGCAGCAGGAAAAAGCTCTCAAGAATATAAAAAAAATTCTGTCATGTCATAGATTAATGAAATGTTTTGCTACGGAAGGAAAGCATAAAGTGGAGCAATGAGTCTAGTCAATTACTTGAGGGGTCGTCACACCATTTTGGTTGACACTATTTGACGAGACTCAATGCATGGTTTTAATAAAAGACAGAAGAATGGAGTGTGTGTAAAAGGCTAATTGTGTTTCTTATCTTTACTTAAGCCCAAGATTTTTAAATTAACGTAGGAAATATGTAATACTCCCTCAAATTAAATCTCTTTACATCCGTCCTTTAATCTTCTAAGTTGTATTTAGTGAAATTGCTCTACTACAAGCAACCCTATTTGTGCTTAGTTTTAGTTTCCTATACAATAATTATATTTAAATGATAACATTGTTAGGTGGATCTTCATTTCGAATAAAAGTGCATGAAGAAGAGATTCGTTGGTCGATCTCACCAGATGAGGACGGATGAATCTCGTCGTACTGCAGCCGTTTGGTTTGTATACGATATTCATGTTGACGCAGTCCACAAAAGTTCCTTCCTCGTTTCGGGTGAAAACGTCGCTGAGCTTTCGTCCATCATTCGATGGACATCATCAAAGCTGGCTTCCATTCTTGTAAAAGTCTCACGTTAACACCCCCTAACAATGTTATCTCATGAGAGTCATCGAAACCAAGTTTCTCTTCGTATCTGATTGATAACCATTGGCATTAATCAGCATTTTTGAAAATTTTTAATTGCGAGAGATATTTTTGGGAAGAAAACGAAAGAAATGGAAGAGGAAGCGTCTTAAAAGCGGGATCAAAGCAAACAGTGAAGGTGTAACGACTAAAGGTTTGTGACGCCTTGGCAACCACTAAATCGAGAGTTTTCACGCCTTTAAGTACGCATCACAAGCTAGTCTGGCTGACTTACAGCCAACTATCGCATCGTCCAGTTCGACGTCGGTAGCATGGAGTTGAACAAAAGCGATCCTCGTCCGAAATGCCTCCGGCAGACCGGCCAGCAGCTGCATGTGGGCACCAGCGTCGGGGGGACCCAAGTCGTTGGGGCCACCATTGCCGTCTATCTCAGAAGAAGCGGCAGGAGGAGAACCGCAAATCGGCTGCCCTGCCTCACTCCTTGCATCGTTGGGGTCTCGCTCTTGCAGATCGGTGGACTCGACGACCTGGTTTGTTGGCACGTTGATCTATTTGCAAAAAATGTTTTAGGAAATGTCTCAAAAGAGAAAGAATGCCTCCATGCCATTTAGTCAAGAGAAGATAATGCTTTCAATATCTCAGTAGACCTTTCGTGAGATGCGTAAAATGGTGTAAACCTAATCTGAATAAAGAATCCTCGGAGTTTTGATGATCAACTTGAGCATAGAAGTCCTCGAGACGTTCGTCAAGATACCAAAAGTAGTAGGCGGGACTGTAACTGACTACCATTGTTAGCTTTGTGATAAACAAATTAGACTATAGAATACGTCTTCGCTTTAAACATATCTCGCATAGCAAGAGAGATAAAAGCCGAAAATGGATGTTTTAAGCTCACAGGAATGTATGCCGATGGTTTATTGGCTCCAACCAACTGTTACAGCTCTAAGATACCCTCAACTCAGCTTCCAGTAAGTCCAGTTTTTGAAGCCTTTCCAGATAACTTTTCATTAAAAAATGAACGATTTTTTCGCATTCCAGCAGTTCATTATACATGCTAATGTGGCATGACTTTTCCTTTTAAAGGCAAAGTTGGTTGAAAGCAATCCACCAATTTGTTTCATAAAGAATCGAGTGAGGATTGCCTAATATTTCCTAATAGCGGCGCCCATTTTCAATTAAAATTTTCCATGGCGCTCTACTCTAAGTATGACTACTCGTAAGTAAGAGATATAAATAAATAAAACTCGTGTATCTTCATTATTCTTTTTTACTTTATTAACATTAAACTATTAAATTTGGCCAAGAAGTCCTGTGAATCCGATCAACCCGTGCTAGGTTTTCTTCTGTCAGTTAACAGACATCCCCTCTCCATTTTGTATGCCTTATAGG